CTAAGGTGGCGGGTTCGAATCCCCAGCCCGGACCCGCCAAACAACAATGACGGCTGCAACCAAAAAATAGCCGCGAGCCCCGGCGGGCGCCCCCGGGCCCCCGCGCGCGCCCGGGCCTCCGGGAGACTGGCGCATGCCACGGAGCGCCCCTCGGGCCGCCGCCGCTCCTGCCCGGGCCCCTGCTGCTGCTGCTGTCGCCTGCGCCTGCTACCTCAACTCGGCGCCCGACTTCTTCATGGTGTGCGGAGGTCATGTTCGCTCCTTAGCCGGCAAACGACTTTTCTCCTCGCCTCCTCGCCCCGCATGTTCAGGACCAAACGATCTGCGCTCGTCCGGCGTCTCTGGAGGAGCCGTGCGCCCGGCGGCGAGGACGAGGAGGAGGGCGCGGGGGGAGGCGGAGGAGGGGAGCTGCGGGGTGAAGGGACGACGGACGGCCGGGCGCATGGGGCCGGTGGCGGCGGCGCGGGCAGGGCTGGTTGCTGCCTGGGCAAAGCGGTCAGAGGTGCCAAAGGTCACCACCATCCCCACCCCCCAGCCGCGGGCGCCGGCGCGGCCGGGGGCGCCGAGGCGGATCTGAAGGCGCTCACGCACTCGGTGCTCAAGAAACTGAAGGAGCGGCAGCTGGAGCTGCTGCTCCAGGCCGTGGAGTCCCGCGGCGGTACGCGCACCGCATGCCTCCTGCTGCCCGGCCGCCTGGACTGCAGGCTGGGCCCGGGGGCACCCGCCAGCGCGCAGCCCGCGCAGTCGCCCTCGTCCTACTCGCTTCCCCTCCTGCTGTGCAAAGTGTTCAGGTGGCCGGATCTCAGGCATTCCTCGGAAGTCAAGAGGCTGTGTTGCTGTGAATCTTACGGGAAGATCAACCCCGAGCTGGTGTGCTGCAACCCCCATCACCTTAGCCGACTCTGCGAACTAGGTAAGAAGTTCTGTGTTCGCCCCTCTACTTCCCTCCTCCCCCGCGGCGATCTCGATTTCTTTTACTGGAAGAAAAGCCCCCTCGGGCTGTGTGTTTGTGCAGCCTGCTCTCCAGAGGGAGTGTACATCCCCTCCTAGGAGATCTGGGGGACGAAAGTAAAGAAGGGACTAGGGGAAACTCGAAGGGCATTCCCTGGGGGTTCCCTTCCAGGTTTTTCTCCTCTCTTGCCCCGAGGGGATCTACGGGCACTGCTCCTGCACTTACTTTGCAGACATGAGGTTAAAAATTAGACGCCCTTATATCCGGATCTTTAAGGGGGTGCAGAGAGGTGGGGGTCACGCCTTCCTCGCACCCGGAAAGGCGTTGAAGTGTGTGGCCGAGTTGGATTAGGTCCAAGCCCGCCAAGGAAGGCTGGGAGAAGAGAACTATAAAGGCTGGAAAGTCTCCGCTCCTTTAGTAAATAAAGAGGGTCACGTCGAACACAAGTGGCTCAGATGCTGCCCTGGCCTAGCAACTTTGGAGTCTGGGGGCAAAGAGGGTCAGGATGGGAGGCCGAACTGGGTATCTGCTCTCTACTCTGCTCCCCCTAGGGTGAAAAGGAGCCAATAGCCAGGGGAAGCTGGGTGCCCCCCTACTTTTTTCTTTATTCTGCACAGAAAAGCACAGATTTGCCTATATTATATTAGGGGCCTGGCGTTGTTGCCCCTTAACTGCGCCTGGGCCTGGGCTTTTCGGCTGGGACCCCAGCCTCCTTTCTTTTTATCCTTTCAGCTTCCTCCATTCCTTTCTTTTTTCTTCTGTGTGCACAGGGTGGAAGATGCATCCCGGGCGCTTCCCCCAAGTTCACCAGCCCTCTGGGGGTGCATCTCCGGGCGGGCTGGGCTGGGGGCACTCGGCGTCCCCCACGCCGCTGAGGGGACGGGGGTGAATTGCACCCCTGCGGGGTGAGCCCGGGAGTTGAGTTGGGATGGTGGGAGCGGGGTCTGGAGTTCTGGGACTGGAGGGGGCTTGGTCGACCTCGGTCCCGTGAACTGTGAAGTGCGCGTCCGCAGCCGAGCCAGTGGTTTCCAGCCCGGCCTGCCGAGCGCGGCGGCGGCGGCCGCAGACGTGGAGGAGCGGAGCGCCGAGGCTGGCGCCAGGCGGCCTCTTTTGTTTATCTGACAGCTAAATATCAAGGCAATCACCGCCTCGCGGCCCTGCCTCCAGCCCCCACAGCTAAGACAAACAGTTGGGCTAAAAGAATGCCTCTGTTATCATAAGTTTCTATCTCTCTTTCTCATGGCTGGGCCTTTATTTTCTCTTACTTTTTTAATTCCAGAGTCTCCCCCTCCTCCTTACTCCAGATATCCGATGGATTTTCTCAAACCAACTGGTGAGTAGATGATTTTAAAAATATCCTTCCTATCTTAGTTAGCAACGGAGTCTCTAGAACCTGGGTTTTTATGTCTAGGCAGCAGCCTGGGGAGGTGTTAGGCTTGCTTCAAGTTGGTTGTAAGTTTCTTCTATTGGAAGTTTGGTGAATTTTTGTTCTTGTAGCTGGTTTCTCCCCCCCCCCCAAGTTTCCTGGATATGCTTTACATTTTGTTCCTTTTTCATGTGTTTGTGCTGTGACCAAAGTTGGCTCAGCTGTAACACGTGGAAGGTTTATCCATGAAGAAGTGTCTTGATGGGAAAATTCAGACTAAGTGGGAAGAAAGGAAGGCATGATTAGATGTCCTGGAAGGCAGTTTAAAAAGGTGCGGAGAACACTTTGATTTGGAGTAGACAATAAAACATTGAAGGAATATAGACAAGACTTGAAAGGAGAGGGGGTTCTCCTTGCCCTCGACACCTCCGAGTCGGCTCTCTCCTGGGGTTTTCTCAGAATTCTTGGTAGGAGCCGTCAAAGTTTTGAGCCATAGCTCTGTCTGCCTGTTGCTTTGTCACTGGCTGGCATGGGGCCAAGCAGAAGCCCATTTGAGTCTGGCACCAGCCCTATTGCAGTTGTCTGCATTCAACTTCTGGTTGGCAGCACAGGGGCCTGTCCTCTGAACCCAGCAGTGCCAGGGGACAGGGTCAGCAAAACAGAACTGGGGATGACAAAGGGACAAGCCTTTCTTATAGTGGGAGAGCTATTTGCTAACAGCACAGACTCTAACTTTGGTTTTTGTGCCTGTATACTGGTGCCTGAAAAAATGTCAGGCACTTGTGACATTTTTATTTTGCCAAGGTTCTAGAAGAAGAAAAAGTGAAGAGCTGGGCACCATTTACCTCCTGGAATTCTCCAGGCCCTTCTGCCTCATGGGTTTTGGCTGTTGGGCCTTTCTCCCCACTAATTAAAAGTTTTGCTGGGACGTTGTCATAAATTAAATACTTTAATGAATGTGTAACCGAAGCCCATGCTCTGCAGCCAGCCCTCCTGGGACTCCACCAGCTCCCTCAAGTTGGGAAGGCATCCCTGCTTGCCCGATGCCTGGCTAATAAGTGGCCTGCAAAGCATGTGATATTTTGCTTTCGATTTACAAAACACTAGATAAATGGTCATTAATGAAGAGATGACCAGCTCTATGTGTTTGTAACAAACGTTAACTGGAATTACTAAGCTTTGTTTTTTCAAAGAATGTAACTTGACTGGGTTTGTGGCTTAAAGAATCAAGAATTCTTTCATGCGGTTACTTCGCCAAGGGGCCACCTCTGCCTTGTTTTTGTTTTTCCTTTCATATTCTTCAGATTTGGAGGTTTCCCTTAAAACAGAGTAAGTACAGTGACCTTGGCACCAGGGTCAAAGACTATGAGGGGTAAATGTTCCTGGAAACCTCCGAAAACCATTGACATTCCCTTGGGGTTCTTGCAAAGATACTGGGATAAATCTGTTAAGCAGTCATTCTGCCAGGCCAGGACCTCATTTTCAGTGAGTAGAGTGATATATTTGTTCATTAGCAAGTGTTGACATTAGGTAGCAAAATGTGTGTAAACAGAGAAGCCACAAAGACAGGAATGTGCCATTTCCAAGGGGGAGAAAAGTTCTCCAGATCAGCCAATAGGAAGTGATTAACCTGCCAATCGGAAACTCAAACAGCTGGTTACTCACCCAAAACGTTTTGTTTAAAACAGAACAAAAAAAGGAAGGGGAAAAAAGGCGCCTGTTATGTAAGAACATGGGAATGGTAACAGCCAAAGAAGCCCCCACGCTAGGAATTGTCCTGGCACATTGGAGGGCCGCCCAGGTCTGGGCTGGAGGGACCTGGGGCTGGTTTTGCTGGCTGCTGTTGAGGTCAGACACAGAGACCGGCTGCTTCCCTGTGTCTCCCTGCCTTGTGTATGGGAGAAGGCTTGGCCTCGGAATTTAGATTTGCTGCTTACATTCTTAAATTGTTAATCCCTAGATTGAGTTTTTGATCTTGGGTTAACTTGGGTTAACTGGGTAAAACAGACATAAGGTTTTACAGTAGGCAGCTGTTAAGTGGTTGCACAACTAAGGGAATCCCTCCTGTGAAGTCTCCAGTGTGGGAAGAGGTATGGGATAGAGCTGGGGCCTCGTACCCCTGCAGCCTTTGGAGGAACTTGAGGGCAAAAAACAACCAGCAGAGTTGCAAGGTTGACTGAATCTAGGGGCATGGTGGTTGTGACTAGTGGCTCCCAGAAGTCAGAAAGACACCCTCGTCCTCTTCCCACAAAGAATAAGAATTTGCTGTTTGAAACTAGATCTCAGTTTATGGAGTGGGGCCACTAGTGGGATACCTGTACGGGTTGTGCTTCCTGATGGTCTGAAAGGTTTGAAGAATGGCTAGGCTGGGGCAGGGGTGTGGCTGGGTGAGCTCTTCATTGTGGGCTGGGAAACCCAGGTGGCCAGTGCACACTGGCAGATTCGGTCTCTGCAGCCTCCTTAGGAAGTCTGGCATCTGCATCTGAGATCTACCCTTGCCTTTGCCTTCTGACTCCAGTCCCTCTGAACTTTCCCAGAGATCATTTATTCACTCAGCCATTGGTTCATTCATTCATTCTAAAGATATGATAGTTTGCTTCCTTAAAAACTCGAGGATTCCAGTGCAGTGCAGTGTTCTTCTGTAAGCAGGGTCCATTTAAGTTTTGGGTTGGGTGAGCTGTCTGAGGCAGAGCTGGAACACTTGGCTAGTTATGGTCGGTGGAGGAGAGGCACCCCAGGCTTGGGTTTTTCATAGACTCTGTTGGAGGTGCTGGGAGAAAGGAATGAGTCTTTCTCTCCCATGGAATCTAGTACTCACTGAGAATTTGGTAATACTTAATGTTGGATGAGGCCAGGAGTGGCCTAGATTGTTGGTCAGCCTGAACTTTGGGGAGCAGGAGATGCAGGCAGAGGTGAAACCATGACTTTAGAGATACTTCTTTGCATAGATTTTCTGTGGGCAAGGGATGGAGCTATGGCTGGCCCCTTTCACCTTTACAAACCAGGTAGTAACTTGAGGCCAGTCTGGATGCAGAAGACTGTCTCAGCTTGTACCCTTTCAGGGAGGAGGGTTGGGACTCCATGACGTGCCTGAGGACTGAGAGCCGTGGGATAGGGGCTGGACTATTGGTTATAGCCCAGCTCACTGGGTGGCCCCTTGAGCTAGCCAGTGACGCCTCAGTTTACCTGGGTGCATGTTGAACTTCACAGAGGTGGTAGGGAGGCCTAATTAATGTTTGTAAATCCCTCCTGAGATCAAAGGCATTGAAGAAGGGCAGAGCATCATTTCATAAAAACTCTTGTGGTTGCCAGTGTGTAGCTGACTTACCTTTGATCTGAGACAGGCTGACACCCTGAATGTGGTCCTAGCTCTGCTCTGCAATGCCAGGCTTTTCCTTTGAAACACACCTTGCCTCTGGGATTCTGCCAGCAAGAGCTGGGGGGAGTGGCTGTGGATAAGTCATCATGTTTAATGTGGGGGTATCTTCCGTCCACAGGGTGGGTGGAGAGAGTTGAGAAGCCTATCTCTAGAAAATGGTGAAGGCCATCAAAGTAGTTTAGAAAGTGCAGGGTATACACCATTTAACAAGGAACTCCATTTCCTGCCTCCCCCTATTGTTTTCCATTTGATTAAGTGTATCCTGTAAAACTGTATATTCCTGTTAAGAATTATACTTTACCCTGATAAAGTGAGATTACACACACAGTCTTCTCTCTCCCCTGCCTGTCGCTGCCACACCTCCTCCTCCAGCTCCCCCGTTTAGGAGAGTTCTTGAATAGTTACTCTTCTAGCCTGGATAGTTTGGGAGAGGGAAGGACCCTGGATTAGAGAGAGAACCTCAGCATTAAAAGGGGCAGATAGCAGAAACCCAGAGATGATTTAGGGTTTTGTGTAGGCCACTGAAGAACTCTCATGGGCCATTTGCCTCTGGACTGCTCTTTGGTTTGGATTCTTCTTTGTGGCCATGGGCATATGGTTCCAGTTGGAAGCTGGTAATGCACACCCTGGGGACACCGTCCTTGGCTGGGAGGCACCTGCATGATCCAACCTGGTCTGTTCACTGTGGGACTGGGAGGGATCTTTCCTGAGCTGGGCTTTCTATAAGGATTTCAGGAAGTTTGGCATTGGCAATGGTGCGTGAGGAGCTTACAGGGTCTTGTGTACTTGCGTTTCATGGGACTAATTAGTTGTGGTTCATGGACATTATTTTTTGTTTTAATTGCTTGGAAGGCTGTTGTAGAGTCTGTCTATTTCTCAGCTGGAATTGTCATTATCCTCATTAACATTGAGGTCACTGCACTGAGCACCTAGGGTGACAGAGATGTTAAAGAGAAACTTATAGTCTAGTGAAGGCAGATAGAATCTGAAGGTAAAAGATCAGTAAAGACATCAGAAGGAAACTCCCAAGTGCTGAGTGCCAGAAAGATTTTATAGGAACTGAGGGCAGGGAGCCTTGCAGGTCTGGGGTTGCCTGGGAAGGTTTCCAGAGGTGGGGGGTTTGGACTAGCCTGGTAGAGGTGGAACATTTCCCCTCCGGCTCTGAGGCTGGCTGAGAATGTTCTCTTGTCTTGATCTGGTGGTGGTTACACAGGTGTGTACATGAGTAAAATTCATTGAGTCTATGTATGCTTTGCTACACATAAGTGATTCTTCAATTAGAAAGAAGAAAGAACTCCTTCCAGCCTAAAGCCAATATTGAGAAATATTGACTAGGAAGTCTATATTAAAAAGATGAGAGCAGTACCCTTGCCTGTGGGAGTAAGCAGAGAGACTGGGGGATCCAAGCAAGAGGCTTTGCCCTTGTTGGGGCGGGGCGGGGAGGGGGAGACAGAGTGACCAGGATTGAGAAAGTCCAACCCCAGCCTCCTTTGACCTTGGCAACTACCTGAGTTCCTCAATGGGAGACTTGTAATACAAGAGAAATTCCAGCCAGTCTGATTGAGCCTGACTTGCCTAATGATTAACTGGCTGCCGGGAGCCCAGACCGGTGACAAGGTGCTGTGGTCTGTCTTATGATGGGCAGCGAAGCCTGAGCAGACCATTAATAATCAGCATCGTGGCCACGAGTCAGCCTTTTGGAATGTGTGGTTTGTCTTTTGTGCTGTTTAGAATGTGCTTAAAGATGAATCTTGGTGTTTATATTTGTGTATTTATTTATTTCTCCCCCCTTTTTGAACCCACAGCAGACTGTCCAGATGCTGTGCCTTCCTCCGCTGAAACAGGGGGAACGAATTATCTGGCCCCTGGGGGGCTTTCAGGTAAGATGCCTTCTCTGATTTTCTCTGGCAATTTGAAGATTTCTTGAAATTACTGGAGACTAGCTGCCACCACAGCTGCTTTGGACTTCATTCTCATTTTTACATGCCTTAAAGTGGGTGCGTCTATGGTAGCACTGTGGTGCCAGTCACCTCTTCACTCTGTCCTACAGTCCTTACACATCAGGACACGGGGCCTCTCTTGAGGCGGGAAGTGGGAGCCGTGCAGGAAGTATTTCATATTTGTTTTTAAGCAGCTCCTGGCTCAAGGGGCTTCTACCTGGTGACTCTGGTGTTGTTAACTCCTACATGTAAGCTCTTTTTTGCTCTTGTGTTTTGTTTATAGGGTGCCTTGAAGGGGTGGTGCACCTTTAGGGGCCTTGTTGAAGACAGATCCCAAACATAGGATGGGATTGCAGAGCAGGACTAGAAGCTTCCCAGTCCAGCCATAGTGTGGGATTCTGCAGCATGTGTGTGGGGAGGGAGCCCTGCAGCCAGCAGGTGCTGTGCCTGTGCCCCAGCGGGGCAGGTGTTCCTGAGGGCCCATGGGCAGGCATGAGGGCCTAGAACACCAGTGCTGGAGGATCACAGGACTGGCAGAGGTGCTTTGCATAGCCAAAGCATCCTTGTCCCTAAGAACATGAGAAGTGGGTGACACTTAAGAGAAATTCCTTGGCAGTCTAAGTGGGATGTGTTTCATTTTTTTTCTAAAGACATCCTACTTCTACCTGTTTTTCCCACACCACCATGTCATCACTAGATTTTCTAACAACTAGGCGAAGCAAGAGGGCAAATAATCTGGGGGAAAAGGGAGAACTTCCTGCAGACTTTGGGGCATCTGGTGTTTCTTCCCTTTGGGTGTCTCAGCGCTAGTGGAAGCTGTAACACTTGCTGTGTACCCTCTTTTGTGAGGATGACCTCTTTGGCTAATTGGTCAAGAGCTTCCTCCGTGGGCAGCTCAGGCTCATTCTATTCCAGATGATTCTTTTCTTTAGGAACTGAGCTTGCTGAGAGTGTCTTCAGGGAGACTTTTGTTTGTTTTTATTTCAGTGCCGTATATACTCTGACTGTTATCTGAGACAGAGGGTATTGTTTACTCAAAGCTTCTAATGAGAGTTGAGCAGGAAAAAGAGGGACCCAGGGAGAGGAGGGGGCTTCAGGCAGGAGGGCGGGAGTGGAGGGAGAAAATGCAGCACTGTGTCAACTGCATCTTTCTGCTTTCTAAGGCTAAGCGAGTTCTTGAAAGAAAAGAAGGCTAAGGGGAGGAAAGGGTCTAAGCAAAATAACACACTCAGGATGTTGTTAGATGGTTTTATTTTTTAAACCCTGAATGTGCAGGGCGGAGTCCTGGTCCCTCCAAACCACATGAAATAAGCAAGGGAAGTGGTAGCTTTTGAAAGGGGCTTTTCAGAAGGTTTGTCTTATTGATAACATCTTGTCTGTCTCCTCTGCTGGAGGAAATGACGACACCAGGCTGCGATACCAGCCTGAACGCCTGGCCCTGCAAGGTAGCTGTGCGGCCTTCCTTGAGATGGGTGGATTTTTCACCCCAGAGCCCTTCTAGTCCTAGAAAGAAACTAGGGGTCAAACAATCATTAACTAGCCACCCCCCCCACCCCACCCCAGGTAATTGCAGCCACTTAGATTAATGAGGAGCTGCTGCTAGGAAGGGGCAGTGTCAGGGAAGGGATGGCGTGGTTTGACAAAACTGCAAAAAGGAAGAAGAGGGAGCCTCCACATGAAAGAGCATTTGTTTTGAATTTTAGCTCTTGATTTACTAATTCCCAAGGCTTCAAAGTTTGAGCTCTTTTCTTCTTTCTGTCTGGAGTTGGAGCAGTGTATTAATAATGTACCACAGGGAGTGGGGAGAGGTCCTGGAAACTGCCTTTTGAGTTGATGTCACTGGTTTGGGGTGTCTGGAGGGAAGGCAGTGGGCACAGGGAAAACATGGGGCTGTACTCTGTTGTAGTGAGAATCCTTCCAAAAGGTGATTTTATTGGCCTCAATCCAGGGCAGAGGGTTTGTAAATGGAGAAAGCCCCAAACTCCTCCTCCTCCCCAAGAAGTTGATGGGGCCATGGGGGGTTGGCCTGGGTGTGTCTGCCTTGCTAGAGGATGAGGCTGGGGGGTTGCAGTGACTGCATGAGGCAAGGCCCCTTGGGGAAAGGGGTTTGCATAGGAGAGGTGGGGCATGCCAGTTTTATGTGTAAAGGGGAGCCTGGTGGGCAGCAGTGAAAATGCCCACAAGGGATTTCTCCCTCCTCCCCCTTGAAATAACCTCTCTGAGTCTCTTTCACAGGCCTTGTGTGCTGTTTTCCTTCCTGTCCTGCCCTGGCTGAGAGCGGGCTTAATGAATGGGGCTCAGTTTAGGGTGGGAGGAAGGTCGGCCATGGGAGCCAGGGCTTGATTCTCTTGGCAAGGGAAGAAGGGAAAGAAAAAACAGCCAAATGTGAAAATGTGGTGGCTTGGAGGTGGGGGTGGGGGTGTGCTCAGAGGGCTGCCCCCTCCTGAAATGCAGGGGTGACTCCAAGGCTGGTCCTACCCTTTCCTGTGCAGGGAGGAAGGGGCTGCAGGTCAGAATTCCAGCATTGCAGCTTTGTTGGGGAGAGTGAAGGGGACATAACAGGCCTGGTCCTTAGGGACTTGCAGTGAAACACACTCCACCCCTGCAAATTTCCTCGGTCTGGGAAAATGGGACATTTTTAGAAGGCAGTGACTTTGTTCCAGGAGATTGTGCTTTCATTTCTGACAGCTGGCTCTCCCAGACAGATGGATTGCTGGGTGCAAGATTGTGTGTGTGTGCATGTGTGTTGCTGCAGACGCACCTATAGACAACCCCTCGCACAGACACCTGAGAGCATGCAGATGTCCACAGGTGGGCTTTGGGATGGGCTGGAGTCCCTCTCATAAGAGTTGATTGACATCGGGCAGCCTCTCCAAGATGATACGGACTTGGGGGCATGGAGTTTGTGGTTCTGAATTGTGATTTGGCAGCCTGAGCTCAGCTCTGCTACTCCATAACAGGCCCTTCTTGCTGCTTGGACATGAACATATCATGGTTTAGAAAGACCCATCTTGGAGGTCTGTCATGGCTGGAAAGGCTGTAGGCTCAGTTCATGGGCTTTTCTCCCAGAGCTTTCCTTGTGTCACTGGTAATGAAAAGCACATGATAGGAGCTGTCATCTTTACAGCCTCCATCTGGAGTTTGGGGGCTTTCATTCATCTCCTGTTGTGTCCTGCTTTAGGTGGGTTGAGGGTGCAGCATCTGCCTGTTGAGTTCCAGGTTATTCGCTGGAGGCCCATCCCCCAGCCTCCTCCTTCATGTATTGCTGTCTAGAGATGGCTGGGGCTCAGCTATATGGGCCTCATCTGCTTAGGGCAGGGATCAAAAGGCAGCCACTACTTGCAGTTAATTTAAACTTCAAAAGTGGTACTCCGGCTTGACGCCTGTGGCTCAAGTGGCTAAGGCGCCAGCCACATACACCTAAGGTGGTGGGTTCGAATCCAGCCCGGGCCCACCAAAACAACAATGATGGCTGCAACCAAAAAAATAGCCAGGCATAGCGGTGGGCGCCTGTGGTCCCAGCTACTTGGGAGGCTGAGGCAAAAGACTTGCTTGAGCCCAGGAGTTGGAGGTTGATGTGAGCTGTGATGACATGGCACTCCACCCAGGGGAATAGCTTGAGGCTCTGTCTCAAAAAAAAAGTGGTACTCCAACGAATTTCAAGGAGGGAGGTTGAGAGACAGTAAAGACAGCAGTGATCACTTGTGTCTTAGAAAATCCCATCTGTTGGCTGTGCAAAGTCATGCTTTATTGGAGAGACACAACACCATCCTTTCAACCCTCAAGGGTGGCCACTCCTTTGCTAAGGTCTTAAGATTCCTAGGAGCCTGGGGGATGGGTGCATCCTTGAGTCAGCATCTACCCCAAGAATGTTTCTCTCTCCTCTTTGATCCCTGCTGGCATCTGTCTTAGCCTCAGAGGAGAGCCTTCAAAAATACCTATATAATCTGAAAATGCGGCCCTGGCTCAGTCCAAGATCGACTTGGGCTCAAACCAAGTAGCTTAGGAAAGATTGTTCCCTCCCATTTTAAGGGAAGTTATTCAGCTGCATGTGAACAATTATTTATTGTCTGGCTTGGAATTTTGATATCGAACTGGGAATGTGGGCCTGGGTGCCTGTCACTGCGCTTTTCCTGTCTCCTCTCCCTGCCTTGGGGCAAACAGCTTGTAGTTTCACTGAGGTCTCTAAGGCCATTGTGTGTGTGTGTGTGTGGGGGGTGCAGATAGAGCTCACAGCTGCCCAGGCCTTTTATCCAGATGCTCATGGACACGGGCTTTGGGGAGAGTCAGGGGGAGAGTTAGATGGAGAGGCATACCTGACCATGAGCCTGCGCCTTCTTCCAGGCCACTGTGAGACATGACAGTCTGGAACTCCAGGGACACCTCTGTATCTCCTTAAACACCAGCCAGCAGAGTGACTCAGGGCTAGGGCGGGCTCACCTGGTGCACACCCACACCCTTGGATGGGCCTCCTGCAGTGCCCGAGGTCATGCAGTCACCCCTGGAGAAGGGCTTTCTGATAAAACCCCTTTTGTCTTGGAAAGAATGAGACAGTCAGGCAGGGGTTAAGTACAGGGTGACAGCATTTAAAGCCTCTAGAGCAAATTTGGGCTGCTCTGCCGGCCAGACTAGAAGGGCTGCTGCTGCCTCATACATCCTGTCCCCAGGCAGAACTGGGCCTACCAGTGAGCGGGGAGGGGGCCAAGTGAAGGCCAGGCTCTGGGTGGTGGAAGTTTTGGCTATAGTCTACACATTGACCACCACCACCATACAAACACACACCAACTTGAGCCTTTTCTTAGCAAAGCCTGTGGGTAGCTGGATAGAGTTCTAGACCTATGAGACCTCCATGGCCAGTGGGGCAGTGAAAAGGAAGGAAATGTCAAAAGATTCATGATCAAGTTTGGCTTCCTTTGCTTCTTTATTATTGCTGTTACTGT